ATTTTAAATTTAATCTTAGTTTTATATTGTTTAATTTTTTGTTTTATTTTGCAGCAACGGTCGAACTGGGACATCGGGATCAACGAGATGGTCCGAGAAGCATTCTCTCTGAAGGCGCAGAAACGCCTAGTCAACACCGTTTCCGATTAGAAGCGGAAGTGGGAGACCGACGGCGACGACGCAAAGCCGAGCTCGATGTCCACTTCCTGCTGGAACGGGTTGAAGGCATATTGGCTGGACCCGCATGCCCAAACCATGGCTTCTAAGTGTTCGGCCGTCCGAAACCGGGTCGGTCCTGACGGTCAGAAGTTAGTGACTCCACACACTTCTGGCCAAATATCATTTGCGGGAAGACGTCTAATGATGGTAAGTAATCTTAATTATTTAATTATTTCTTTTTTTCAATTATTTATATTTACTTAAGATATTTTTAAATATATTTTTACTAATGTTTAATTGAATAATATTATGTGGTAGGCCGAGGAGAACGGAGGAGAACTTCCTCTAATGACGAAGCTCTTCGAGACCACTCACCGGAAGAGGGACGGAACCTTTGTAGATGCTCGGTCAGAGGAGATCTACAATGCCGCTATTCAGCGGATCGCCGAGCGGGAAACCCAGGCCACACCTGACAGTACTATCCAAGTACTGTTGACCGTCGCTGAGCAAGACCAGATCTTCGAGGAGGTATGATCGATTTATTATATTTAGTACTTAATTATCTGTATATATATGATCTAATTAACGTTTTTATTTTCATTTGTAGGTTGCTCCGAAGAAGAAGGGCCGAACCTTAGGGATGGGCTTTATTAGAGATTGTCCCGCCGCCTCGGCTTCCGGATTCCACACGCAGGAGGATCCGAGTCTTCTTCCGGATTCCACACGCAGGAGGATCCAACGCTGAGATCACCAGTCTACGGCATGAGCAACTGACCCAGAAGCAGGAGCTCACCGAGATCAACGGTTTTTTCGACATCATATCAGCAGCGGTTCCGCAGTTGGCCACCGCAATCCGAGAGAGGTAACGGCGATCTCGCGGGATTAATGCCGGTACTTCCGGTGGACCATCTGACCAGCAGACGCAGGGTCAGACGCAAGGTCAGACTTCGGATCCGGTAGTGCGACGGGAAACGACGGTCCAGCAGCGACGGACGGCTATGACGGAGAGCCTCCTCGAGACGTCGATCTCAACCTCGACGATTATGAAATAACATTGTAGATTAGGTTTTCTTTTGTAAAAAACAATTGTTTTTAATTTTGTATTTTAATTTATAAATTATTTTCGAATTTAAATTTTAAATTATAATGTTTTTAATTTAATTTTCATTTATTTGATTATTTTAAAAATTTAATAATTAAATTTAACTCGAATTTATTTAATTAATTTCTAAGTCGACGTAAATTCGTCGTAACTTCACGTCGACTTAACGTCAAATATTTTACAACGAATTAACGTCGACTTATTTTACCTCGAATCTACGTCGAACTTTTACGATGAATTTACATCGACCTATAAAAAAATTATTTCCCTTATGCGAAATAGATCGTCTCCTAATCGTTGTTAAATCGATGTAATTTTACATCGATTTTACATCGATTTTACGTCGGTGTTATGAGAAAACTATTTCGTCATACTTTCGTTGGAATATTTACGTCGTGTTTACGACGAATAGTTTCCGACGATGTTACGACGATTTTCTTGTGTTGGCAATTTTACAACGATTTTACGACAATTTCTATTTTACGACGATTGTTTTACGACGATTTTTCATTCGTCGGTAATTCGACGTAAAAGGCACATTACGTCGATTTTACGTCGATATCTGCCCTTATTGATTTGTGCTTCTAACTTTGGGCTTCCCTTCTCCTTACATTAGGGCCACGAAAATTAGGCTCTGGAGACTTTAGAAACTCTTAAGAATTAGCTTCAACTAGTTAACTTTTCCGCGCCTTTCGCGGGCTGATATGATTTTCATTTGATTGTTTGAAAATCTAATAGTAGTTTGGATTCATTTGTTTTTTATTCTTGAGTATATTTGTTTGTTAGATTTCCTTACATTTTAATGTTGGAAGACATAAACATGAAAACTGTTTATAATAGAAGAGAGTAAATTAAAACATAGTATTCAAATAATTTAGTTTAAATAGTTTTGAGATCTTTTGATCACTATTTTATGTATTTTAGAAGTAATTTTTTAAAGTACCGTATGAATTTATTCGATTTTGATCACTGTTTTATGTGTTTTAAACATCAGAAATACCGTCATTACATTATATTTTTTTTACTTTTTTTGTTAGAATTTTTCTGATATTTCAGTTTTTTTATGTTTTGAAACGACATTATATTACTTTTTAAATACTTTTCAATTTTTGTTTCTTTAAATTTTGTTAGATTTTTTTTTCGGAAACATAAGAAATGGTAAACACTAAGAGATATAAAATCCAGTTTTTTTTTTAAAAAAAAACGTTTTTGTTATTTATTTTTCAAAATTTTGGTTATATATTATTTTAAAAACGGTTTGATTGACTATAAAATTAAACATTAAACCATACTAATTTAGACCGGTTTGTTTTAATTTTTTTACACAATATGAAATTAGAACCAATAAAAAATGGTACATAATTGCAAAATATGGCTAAACGGTTTATTTACAGCCAAAATTTTGACTATAAAATTACACATTAAACTATAATAATTTAAAATTAGTCATGATTTTATATATATGTTGCATTTAGGTTTTAAGTTATGACGATTATTGTAGATTTTCCTTTTTTATTTTTTAAAAGATAAACATAATTTTCCTTAAGCAATTATCTATATAACATATATTAGTAATTTAACGTTTTTCGTAGATTTGTATTATGAGCAATATTTTCGATTTGTTTGTATATACGTTATAAATAGTATATAGATAGAATGAAGAAGAAAGCAGAGGTTAAACAATTTTGAAAATTGTGAGAGAAATAGTGAAAAGTGGCTGATATTTATACTAAACCATAAGAAATCAAAAAAACTTATAAACATAAGAAATCGTAAACACTATAATACTTACCGATATTATAGCATAAATTTCATTTTTCTGTTTCAATTAAAATTTTAGTTATATTTTTTCTAAATTTTGAGAACATAAGAAATGGTAAATTTCTAGATTTTTTTTGTTATTTTTGAAAACGTTTTTGTTTATTTTTTTTTTAATTTCTCGAACATCAGAAATGGTAAATTTTTAGACTTTTTTGTTATTTTTAAAAAAGAATTTTGTTTTTTTGTTTTTTTTTTAATTTTGAGAACATAAGAAAAGGTAAATCTTTAAATTTTTTGTGTTATTTTTGAAAAACGTTTTTGTTTATTTTTTTTATAAATTTTTGGTTTAATATAATTTTAAAAATAGTTTGATTTGACAGTGAAATTAAGTATTTAACCATAATAATTTAGACCGGTTTGTTTAAGTTTTTTTACACGTCATCAGATAAGAACCAATAAAAAAATGACATGTAATTGAAAAATAAGTCTTTTTGCGGCCGAAACTGATTCTGGAGCTGACACGTAAGCGAAAAACGGTGAAACTCGCTGTGAGCGTGACACGTAAGCAAATCAAGTATTTAACAATAATAATTTAGACCGGTTTGTTTTAAGTTTTTTTACACGTCATCAGATAAGAACCAATAAAAAAATTACACGCAATTGAAAAATAAGGCTAAACGGTCTTTTTGCAGCCGAAACTGATTCTGAAGCTGACATGTAAGCGAAAAATGGTGAAACTTGCTGTGAGCGTGACACATAAGCAAATCACTAGACAAATAAGTATATAGAAACTTCCTTTCACTCTTGGGCTTTGCAAGCTATGGTTTCCTCCATCGATAAGCAAGGATTATGGTTTCTTCAGTGACAAGTTTTAAGATTAAAGCTTTAAGGTTTTGATAGAAAAAAAAATTAGGCCATAAACCTAATTCTTGCGATGTCACATCCGGCATCACCGCCACTACTTACCACCGCTGCTGCAACAAACTAACGTATTGATTGGTTCACACGCTATCACCCGCAAACGCAGCGATTAGTGGCGTTTTATAACAATCATAGAAATCGCTGCAAACCGTTTTGTATTATTTTGTACCGCTGAAATCCAAAAGCTGCTTCTCGGAAGCGTTTGCGGTTGCGGACGGTAGTGGTTGGGTAAAAAAACTAGAAAAACCTTGAAATAGAAAATTAGTTTGTTTTCAGAAAATTACATGGTCAAAAGAGATGATATGTGCGTTACTTCAACAGATCATTGTGGAAAAACAAACCGAAGAAAAAGAACTTAGATTCTAAAGAATATTAATGAGAAAATTGGAGTTGATTTGAGTTGGGATCATGCAAAAAATTGATTAGATCAACTGAAAAAAATTTACATTATGCATAAGACAAATTCAGAAGATGCACGTATTGGAGCAAACATTTTCCAGTTTATTATATTACAAGACAGAATTTTGGGTGATGTTCTCAATAATTGAAATAAAACATATCGTTATAAAATTTATTTTGAATAATTATTTAGTATTATTTATAATTTTTTATTATTAACTATTTTGAACTAGTGATTTTGATATTTAGCATAGTTTTTATGTTGTTTTATAATTATATATGATGTTTATTTTGATAATTTTATGTTTAACCGCTAAAACATCTGCTGGTTCGCTAGTCAAAAATATTCCGCAAACAGAACCGCTTTAAAAAGTTTAACTAGTCGTACAAACCGCTTAATAACGCTCAAAACCACAATTGTCCGCTTCCGCAAACTCTCGTACTCGCAACTACAACCGCTGCGTTTAAACCAGTCAGGCTCTAAGTTGTTGGAAAGAAATCAGATTTTCTTTTCTGTTGTTGGGCTTAATTAGATTTTTGGCCCATTCATAATTGTTTGATATCAGGTCCAGATTTCGGCCCAATAGATGTGAAAGACTTGAGCTCATCTTCCTCAAAAGCTCCACCGGAGGCGATGTCCTGACGATCCTTTCTCGATGGTGAATTGAAAACGATGCAGCTCCGATCAAATCAAATCGGATGACTGGACAGGACTTTTACGAATTCAGAGCCAATAATTTTTCCTGATAAATTCTCCCAAATCTCAGCCATAATCTAAAAGACATTCCATGAGGATTTATCTTCAGAGTAACGGCTTCACCGAAAAGACTTTAGGCCACTGTTCCAAGCTCGTTTTGCTTCACCTGAGATCTCCAGGATAATCCCGCCAAGCTCGTTTCGAGATTTGAAGCAATGGCTGAATATGCTTGAAAAAAGAATTCTCTCAAGAGCTGAGTTATGTCAAGACCTTAGAGACACTGACTCCAACGACTAAACGCTAGATCGGGCGGTCAAAGAATCTTGCCATCCCCAAGCCAAGCAACAATTTTTTACGGAAACAATCCGGCTGAGCTCGGCGACTGCATAAATCTGGCTCGACCTCAACGCCAATCTCTTCGACAGAGCAATTCCGGACTTGGAAAAATCACGAGCTTCACAAGTGATGTCGTCTCTGTTTAAAGGAGCGAGCTCACAACTACGCACCAGCAACCAAAAGCTAAGTATCATCATCCTTACTAGTTCAAAATCTCAAAGAAAAAATAAATATCTTCACAATTTTATTCAAAATATTGCAGGATTTGCAGAAATTGTGGCTCCGGCTTGAATGCTCTGGCAACGCAAACGCCACTATAACGACATGTTATCAAGAACTTTACCTCAACATCTCGGATAAGCACTTTCTCCTCAACAATGCAACATTGATACACTAGCCAATGCTCGGGATTATAATAAAGAGGAGAACGTCACCACACTCATTCCAGCTAGTTCCCTAAAATGCCCGAAGTTATTAAATACCATAGCTCATCAAAGGAGCTCTTCCAAAATTCAGGTATCTATCGAAATCTTTATCTATTATTCAAACAAATTTTGTATTTTATAAAGGTCCGTCCCTCCAAGCCGAACTACGGTTGGCAAAAAAAGAAAAAAAAAAAAAGAGAAGCTCGTCAACCCAGCTCTTCAAAATTCAGGATCCGTTCCTTTAAGCGGAACTCACAAATTCGGAGTCTCGACCGAAGTCATCTGGTGTAACATCGATTTCCTGGCCAATTGTTAAATAACATTATCCATGGATGCAAACTTAAAAAGTCGAGATCCGTCTCGCACGCATCTCCATAAGTGATGTGGTGAAATAATCCAGATTTTAGAAGTCAGTCTTCTATTTAAATATTTCTAAGTCACCAAAAAGCCGAGCTCATCTTACACATTTCGGTGTGACTTAGGAAACAATGTGTCTGTATTGTGTGCTTACAAGGGTGTGTTACTATTCACAAACTCACCTCTTCCAGCACGAAAAAGCTCAATTGGATTTCAGGCTGAGTTCATTTGACTCGCACAAATTAAGTTGAATCCTTCAGATTCGCACCATAAGCCGAGTTCTCAACACTCACAAATGTAAGCTGAATTATCGTAATTTGCAAAAGACAGAGTTGAAACTCATATAAGCCGAGCTAACAGCCTCATAAGAATCCATCAATCACAGTTCACACCAGATTAAAATACTCATGAAATCCGCTGAACTCCTACATATACTCTTTCGTCGGACGGAGAGGGAGGCTTACTGATGGAGGTGTACTCTGCACCTTGGGTTTAGCCCGGTATGAACCAAGATCGGCCCAATTGATCTTGGTTTACGATGATTCATACCCGAAGAACATTTGACCTAGTAACAGCCTTTGGGCCTATTAAGACCGACTTACAATGTCGGCATTATCATCTGGAATTTGCAGAATATTTCCTAATCTTATCTAGAAAAATGAAATATTCTGAAAGACAAATCTCCGAAAAAAAAATTGTTTTTATCAATTCCAAGAAATAAGAAAATAAAGAAATCTCAAATCAGAATCGACCGATTTCAACATCTATTTAGAGAGCATCTCATTCATTCAAGGCATAATCCACAACTCCATAGAAAACCTAGAACACATCTTCTTCCTATTCTCGCTGTAATATGAACTACAAATGGCTTGATTCCTCTTTGAAGGATACGTAGGCGGTTCACATTAATTTCAGCTATAAAATCAATAAAAAATCTCCTAAACCCTTTGTGTGATACTTGGTATCAACAGTGACCGTATGATTGTTTGGAATCCAGGAATCAACCCTGCTTGCCTCTAGCTTGTGTCAGAATCCGATGGAGACGAGAGACCACTTGTTTTTCTCCTGTCCCTACTCAGCGGAAGTGTAGGCTGGCCTTTCAAGGGGTTTGCTAAATACGCACTATTCAACGGTTTGGCAAAACATCATCACTGTTATCTTTGACTCAAGGGTAGAGCCACTTTCACGTTTCCTCACTCGGTACGTATTTCAAAGTGTGATCCACAGTATATGGAGAGAAAGGAATTCAAGGCGTCATGGAAAAAGACCAAGGTCTTCAGCTCTTCTCATCAGGATAATCGATAAACAAGTGCGAAATCGCTTCTCAACAATTAGACCTTCGGGTGATCAAAAGTTCGAAGGAGGTCTTAGAGCTTTGTTTGCTACTAGACCGTAGTTCTCCATCATGATTTTCTGTAATTTTTTTCTTAAAAATTTATATTTTAGGTTTCCTTAGGAAACACACTAATGTAAAGGCCAGTGGCAGAGCCACGTTATATAGGGTGGGGTCAGCTGCCCCCAAGTAAAAAATATATAATTAGTATACTTTTTTAAGGATATTAATTATTGACCCCTATATCAAATAAATATTTTCCCCCATCAATTTTTTCATTTGTTCAGTTACTTTATTTGACCAATTGTTTCTATATGTAATTGAGTTTTATCCATCCAAAATTGATAGCCAAATAAATTTATTTACTTTTTTCTCTTAAGATCACTTATATTAATTTATGAATTTTAGATATTTAGTTGATAAATATGTACATACATCACACATAATATAAACATGTCTAAAAGTTAACTTATACTAACACAATAACCCTAGTTTTCAAATAAAAAATATATGATTAAAAAAAAAAATTTGCGGAAAGTTCACGATCAATATCGTTACTAACATCAATATCTGTTCTCTGCCGCGAACTGGGATCGTTCGCCAGCTAGGTCAGATTGAAGCAACATTTTTTGAGACCTACTTTCATACAAATCTTACAATATTTTAGCTCTAACTCTTTCAAACAATTAATAAAATTATGTTTTCTGTAAATTACATGATTATAAAATTGTAAAAAAAATTATTGAAAATGCTTTGAAATTATTCATCATATATGCAATAACTTATGTGATGAATGTGGTAACTTGCTAGTCAAAGTGTAACAAATTTAAGTCAAAAAATATAAATGCATTCATACACTTTTTATTTATCAATGTTTTAAAATGGTAAAATGGTATAATGGTATAATGTTTTTGAACTTAGATAATGTTTTAGTTTAAAAAATTTTGCCCCCGGTCAAAATTATTTCTGGCTCCGCCACTGGTAAAAACATCTTTTTTTTATTTTGAATAAACTTTACGTTCAATTCAAAAAAAAAATTCTTACAAAATTTCATTATAAGTAGAGCTTAGCTAGTTGTACTTGGTTACACAAGTCGTTTTATGAATTTGAATTCAATAACATAAAAACTGATACAATATAAATAAGTTAATCTAAAAAAATCTAAAATATATTAAAGTGGAAGCACAAAAGTACACTTGGCAGCACCACAATTAAAGTTAACATTTGCAGAAATTATTAATTCATAATAAACTCTATTTCCTTATTTGTTGCTAACAATTATTTTCTAACATATTAATATTGCGTATATGTATAACAACTTAACAAAATAAGTATTTTTAACATTCAAATAAATTATACATGCTTATATTAATATATTTACATAGCTTTTAATTTGGAGAAAAAAAAAACTCAACGTATATATTTTCAAAACAAAACATTTTACTTACTATTTTGGAATTGAGATAAATTATAAATACATTGTTGTAAATACTATAATAGGTAGATTTTTGAATTGTAGTCCTATTATAGGTCGAAATTCTAAGACTTACATTAATAGGTGGACTAAATAAAATAAGAACTAGGTAGTAATTCGCATCTTGCGCGGAGTGAGATATTTATAACTTTTTTTATAATATCCATGTTTGAGATAAAGTATAGACAATAAAAACTTAAAATTCTAAAACAAATATATTATATTAGTATAAACTATATTGTTGTATAAAAATAAAACCATGTTGGTAACAGTATAAATATAAAATTGTAATATATAATGTTATATAGTGCATTTTAATATTACAATAATTAAGTTAACTTTAACAGTAATGAAAAGAAAACTACGTATGAAAAAAGGCTGATTTATAAAGATTTTTAAAGCTTAAAATTTGATGGTTATTGGTTTGTGGATTTGTACATTATAAGTATATTCTATTGTTATTCATAAACATATTATAATATTTTTAAAAAAAATTATTGTTTTTTGATAATTTTTATAATCTAATCAAAATTTATTGTTATTCAAAAGGTTTGTATTTTAGTGATTCTATAATTTTATTATACTCTATTGTTATTGGGATAAAGATTCTTTACAATTTAAATCATAAATCAGAAGTTTCAAAATACTATATATATGCCTTAGATTCTCAAAATATGCTATAGTAAAAATATTTTATAAATTTTTTAAATCCACAAAACTCTTTGCAAATTTTACAAATCCAAAAAAACTCTGGAAGATTTGACTAATCTCATAACTTTTAAATTTAACCAATTTCTTTTTAAATCCAATTCACAATAACATCCCTCCCCTTTAGCATAAATAGTAAGAATGATAAAAATAAATGAAACAAATAATTAAATTTTGAGTCGATTAAAACACTCTTAATTATTAGACCAACAACAACTTGATATTTTTTTGCAAAGTCTTATGATATTACCTTTATTTTAAAATATTCTTCAAAGTTTTGAATCAGAGGTTCATTTGAAAAAAAAAATGATGGGAAACAAAAGTTATAATAGGTAAACAAATGCTACGTTTAAATTTTTTTTTTTTTAAAAAAATGATGAGTAAAATGTTATAGAAGTCATTTCTTTTTATATAGAAGATAATTGTAGGAATTCCAAATTGTAATATATAGATTTTCAAAATTTTGATTTTTTAAAAAAAATACTCAATAACAAACAGAAATAAATGCAAAATATATTTGTTAACTATACTAGGTAACAACCAAATTCCACCTGTATTATATTTGAAAAAATTGTAACTGATATTTTTTGCAAAAACTAGAATTGTTGTTTCTGTCTTGAATATTTTTTAAAATGGTTATACTACAATGATTTTTCTAAAAGTATAAAAATTTGAAAATAATCTATAAAAATATTGAATGCATAGTTTTAGTTAAATATGTTTCAATCATAAACAAATAACTTTCGTGTCATACGCCGCGTGAAGTATCTATAAAATATTTTATTTAACATGATTTATTTTATTTAAAAATAAATAGTTTAATTGATTTTATATGTATGCTAATAGTATTATGATGAGTACTAATATGATTTTGTATTATTATTGCAATTACAAATATATAATATGATTATAAGATTTTATTATTAATTTTCATATTTTTTTAATATGAATTTAATTGTATAGTTAATAGTTTAATTGAAAAATTGATATATCTTATTAAAATAAAAAAATTAGTGAATATTTTGTTTTATTTTTCAAAATTCAAATTATCGCATGTGCATAAGATATAAATTTATTATATGTTTGATGTGATAATTGATTCAGAAAAAGTAAACAAAGAGAATAAAAGAAATATAATGATTTTAAAAATATTTTATATTATATTATTGAATAAGGTTTGAATATAAGAAAATAATTAATATGAGATAATTAAATCTCAAGTCTTTTTTCTATTTGATTGGCTAATAAATATATTTTGAAATTATTTACTACTTTTTTGTTTGTTTAATTATGGAAAGAGAGATATTTTTTTGAACAATTACTTTTAATGATTAGTTTAATAAGATATGTTTGATTCTCTAACCAAATTAATGTCAGTGGTATTTGTTGCAATTATTCTAGTAACATAAGCTTTTTTTCAAAAAATCATTGAGAAGTTCTCTGAATTTGACACCTTAGCATGACACATTTGTAAATCACACATGACACAAATGTCTTTTTTAATGTGTTCTTGTAAAATAATAATATAATATTACATTGTTAGAGCAAATACTTTAAAGGTTGACAGTACACTAAAAAGTTTGTATACCTTTCTTTATGCATATTTTATTGTTTAAAATTAAAATATGATAACAATTTTTTGATTTAAAAAAATAAATAACAAAAATAAATTATATCTAAACAAAAATGATAAATGCAACTTATATTAAAAATAAAAAATAAAATATTCCCGTGCGGACGCACAGGGTTAAAATCTATCTATTCTATTAAAACAGAAGCACATTTAGTGCTTGCATCCAAACACTCCTAAAGTTTTTTTTTATAATATTTTATTTTATTTTTATATTTAATTTCCGAAAATTAGTTATTAATTTAGATATTTTTAGATTTCCTAAAATCTAGGTCATCTTTAATTTAAATTTCAATTTAATTAAATTTAGTTACAAAAATTTGCATTCAATTTAATTTAAATTCAAAAAATTCAAAAAACTTATAATTAAATTTTATTACGAAAATTTAGATAATAATTTTAATACTTTAAAATTTCTTAAATACAGAAAAGATTTAATTTTAAATTTTAAATTTAAATAATATTTTTATTAAAATGCATAGTAAATAAATATTTTATCGTATTTTATCATAAACAATCGATCTAAAATATTAAATATTTGAGATTAATAAATATTTATATTATACAATAATATGATCGAGCTGATTAGAGTTATATATATATATACATTTTTTAATAACACAAATAGTAAATAAATATCTTTTTATATATTTTTATAATCAATTGGTCCAAATATTCCATATTAGTAAATATTTATTGGGTAATACAATTATAATTATAGTCTTATACGGGTTAGTTTGTCAAAACATGTAAGATATTAAAAATGATTTAAGACAACTAAACGGATGGATTAGCAAATTCATAGATATATAGATTGTTTATGTGTAAATCTAAATTCACATAATAACAAAGTTTATAATTAACATTAGATCATTGTATACTTAACTAACGTATACTCTTATTCTACTAATATACAAATTTTACTGTTTAAAATTAAAATATGATAACAATTTTTTGATTTAAAAAAAATAAATAACAAAATAAATTATATATAAACAAAAATGATAAATGCAACTTATATTAGAAATAAAAAATAAAACATTCTCGTGCGGATGCACGGGGTTAAAATCTAGTTCTGTATTAATTTCTGTATTAATGAGTAAATATCTTACTATCCTATATATTTTAAACAAGATCTCATATATCCAGTATTAATGAGTAATTAACTTACCTAATTTCTTTTTTCTAATATACAAATAATTTGACAAACCAAAATATCATTACAAAAAAAATTCGTTATCATTAATAATTATTATTTTAAACTAAATCTTAACAAGATATCTAAACAACAAATCGATGTTTTATTCAAATAATTTTAAAAAGAAATAAATCAATAAATGTATTGTTTGTTAAGTTCTGGTTGTAATTAACATTTAAAAATAGTAAACTGGAATTCAAATATTTTCCTAATTAAATGAATAAAATCATGGATTTTATTTGATTTGAATTTACTATTTTTATTATTTCCATAATCATTTTAGAGAATATTCCATAAAATCCGTATAGAATTTACTATTTTCCGAATGAAATGCATAAAATAATATTTCCATAATTTACCAACATTGGATTCAAATATTTGTTAGCATTAAATGGTTTTTTTTTTCAATTACGGTTTCATAATATTATTGTACTAAGATTTGGTAAACCATAATATTTTTTTAAGATTTTGTATATATATTATCTCATTTATATTTATTTATTATTAATAAAGCTTCTTAAAGAAGCTCTGTTAAATCTAAGCTTATATAAGAAGTGTACGTTCTATTTTTTCTCTCATTTTCACTGAGCCTTAGTTGTGGTTTTTGAAAAAACTAATTTTTATTTCTCATGACCATTTATCTTCATGATTTTGTTCATTTCTTACTATCTTATTTTCTTTTGAAACAGAACTCATAAGCTGGATTTTTGAGACATATTTAAATCGAAACTCAGGGAGTCTAGAGGCAAGAAGTGTAAGGTTTTGATTTTTCTATCTTTCTCTTTTTTGTTTAATGTATTCATCTTATTTCAAAAAATTAGAGTTTGATTTTTGCATCTTTCTTTCTCTCTCTTTTTTTTTCTGGTGGGATTCGTGAAGCAATGTGCTAGATTCGGAGATGAAGGAGCTGGTGGTAATGAAGAAAATAGTAAATGCTTTTAATCATCACATAGATGCCAAATGTTAAACTATAATGTTAGTATCTTCATTTGATTTGTCGAATTATAATGTTAATCTAGATGAACAATTTGATACTTAATGAACAAACAAATCATGATTATGATTTTTTTCTTAATTTTTTATTTCAACAGAGTATATTTATACGAGACGTGAGTTTCTTATACGAGACGTGAGTTTTCCCACCACACCACTGCAAAGATAGTTCGTTGATCTTTTTATTGCGACTGAGTTCATGGACACTGATCTTCATTGATACATTAGAACCAACCAGAATTTGTCCGAATAACACTGGTAAATGTTCTTGGTTTCAGATATTAATAATAATTTTGAATGTACAAAGATGAAAGTGACATTAATCTACTTACTTTTTTTTCTTTTTCTTCCAGTGAATCTTTTATTTTCAAGAATTCTGTTAATATAAAGGGTTTATATCTTTGTTAATTTTCAGGAAAGATCTTGGAGAAGAGATGCAAACGTTTAACCAACAATAAAGAATCTTCATAACCCATTATATCAAGTAAGCGTCGTTTTACTTTATATGCTCAAGTATTGCGTCTTTCCTCAGCTCATAAAAGCCGTGATTTTTGCTCTTACAAACATTATATTTGATTATTTAAACTTTAAATTTAACAAATTTGAAGATGCAGTATCTCCTGAATTGTTTTTTCTCTTCTATTTTGCAGGCTATATGTGATAGGAAAATTATGAAACCTGAAAAGCAGCTATGTTTAAGTCATCTTTATTTGTTTGTTTTTTTTTTTGGGATATAAACTCTTTAGATCATGTACCTGGGTGGATTTTGGAGTGGACCTGCATCTATGTCTGAGCTTTTTTCGGTAATTTCAATATCCAGACTGCATGACATTTGCTGAATTTGAAGAAAATGCAAAGAGTGATGCTTTCTCAAGCACTTGAACTCTTTTCTCACTGACTCTTTTTTTTTTAAATTCTTTTAACAATTTTCATACACAATTTAATTAACCAGTTTTTTAATACTATTTTCTTTACTATACTTGATACAATGATCTTCTTTTTTATTAACATCATCGTTAATTAGGATATTATATATTTTATGGTAATGATTTGTACCATGTTAGCAAGAATGTTTTCTTAAATAATAAAAATTATAGAACCAACTGCAGACCATTTATTAGAATAGTTCATGGTGTTGCTGTTAAGTAATAAACCCTGAGATTTTGGCATGATTATTATTGGTCTAACATGTCGAGATATGTTTCCACTATTCTAATGAACTTTCATGAAGACATTCTATTTATATTCACAATAGGTTTTTTTGCATGCTATTTATAAGAAACACAGAGTAATTAGTGGAAATCGATATCAATTATCACTACGTTCTCTATCAATCTTTCTTGAATGCATGATTTATAATCAAAATTTATTCCTATTTGTATAATTTATTTTTCAGCAAACTCTATATAAAAAAAATATGGACAACCATGGATACCAAATTGCTATAGCTTTAATTAATACTAAACATGATCTTTATTTGACAATTTTTATTATTTGACTGTATAATTTGCTTTACTTTTTAATATTTGTTATGGCAGGGAGAGGAAAGTATGATAATAGATAATTCTGTCTTTTAATTGTGATGAAATATAAGAGAACAACTTCTAATTAAAAAAAAATTCAAGGGAGTTGGAGGAACAAATGTGAAGAGCCAGAATTGGAGCTAAACTCAGCAACAGAAGAAATTTTCTGAGACTTTTATCTGCAGGAAAGAGAATCATGTAGTGGAAATGATCAAACTAAGAATTTTTCTATTTTGTTTTTAATTTAAGAGATATTATTTCTCTTTTATCATAAAAAGAAATGATTTTCTCTTTCTTTTTAAATATTTTTAGTAGTGAAATGTTGGTTTTTTTACTTCTTTTTTTGGTTAAACTTCATTTTGGATCAATTTGAATTGATATAATGAAATGGTTTGGAGATTGACTAAAAACCCTTAAGTTTTTTTTTTTGTTTGGTTCAATATATTCTTATTATTTTTTTATCGTGGATTATTACCTGTTCAAGTTGAACATCAGTTTTCCTACAAATGTAATGAAATTAAGCTTTAGAAATTTGAAAACTAAACCAAAAAAGGGGTTTTGGCATGATCTAGATTAATTTTTTTTATCACTGACAAAGATGGAAACCCAAAAAATAAAACCATGAATTTGGTTTCCAAAGAAAACACATAGTAAGTTTCAAATTTTAAATATTTTGAAATAATGTGGTAAAAGTGATATTCAAACATTGATAATTTTTATAGTTGGTGGTTTGTTTGATTTTTTTTTTTGTTTTCTATTAAGACCATCTCCAATGGTCCTTTATTTTGAGGGAAAACATCAAAAAATGAGGGAATCTCTTCTCTAACGGTACTTCATTTTGAGGGACAAAATGAGTTTATGAACAGTATAACATCAAATTTGAAGAAACATTATTCATCCCCTCATTTTACTTTTAGCTTTGTTTATTTGCAAAATGATCCTTTAATTTTATATGTATCTGATTTATATCTAAACAAAGTTTTAAACTTTTTATTGACTATTCAAATAAAATATTATGGTTTTTAAAACATAATTATTAATAAATATTAATTAACTTCATAAATAAAAATGTGAAAATTTAAATTTAATATATAAAACAAACATAAAATAACTTAACAAACAAAATAATTCAAAATACATAATTAATATCATACATAAAGATAAAAGATAACAAATAAAATTAACATATCTTTATAATTTATTAAAATAATTGGGTATAATTTATAAATTTAGAAATAATAGGAGTTGTTTGTAATTAATAATAAATAAGAAAAGAATATACTTAGAATATTTTTTTTGAGGGAACAAATGAGGGATACTATTGGAGTAAAATTCTACCTCATTTTATTTTACTCATTTTGAGGGAAAAAATAAGGGAAACCATTGGAGATGCTCTAAGGATTTATTTTGTCGGTTTTTAAACATTAACCAATAAAAAAAAACAATGCAAAGTAGACTATGTGAAACTATAATTAAAACATTGATTGTTGAAACATTGATAGAATAAATTATAACTTTAAATAATTTAAATTTTAAAAAGTCTTCAAAATCTCATGGTTATGATAAAATAAAAAAATTTCAAAGTCTCACATATAAAAATAATAAATATATCTAAAATGAAATGATTTAAATATGAAATTATAAAAAAAAATAAAAACCTTGGTAAGATGAATTTTGAATATAAACACAAGTATAAGCAAGAGACATATAATAATAGTTGTGTTGAGATTTTGAACGATTTTAATGTATAATCACCATATGAATAAAAGGCTAAACCTTTAGTTTGACCTTGGTTTTAAAAAAAGAAACAACAAACAACCAACAATCTTTTAAACATGTATAGTTTAATAAAATACTTAGAAAACTAATCGGACGGTTATAATAAATTCGATACAGTAAACAATAATTAGAATACTATCATATTTCAAAAATTATTTAGTTATATATTTTAATATTTATATCATTCGTCCTTTGTAACTAAGTATACATCTCATTTAAAAAACATTAGAGCCAACAACGGGTCAAAATCTAGTTTGTTTGAAACATAAACAGGATAAGTTTTCGTAGAATAATAAGAAAATACTGAAAATCTAGTTTTACTAGATTAATCACATTAACATTTAACAAGAATTAATTTTTAAAAACATGTAAAACATAAGAATTTATGGAATCACTCTCAAAACATGAACAAGATTTATACATTCATCACCAAAAACTTTGTGGATAATGAGTTTGAATGGATTGACCTAGCCTATCTCGTCGTGGTGTCTTGTCACCATGAGACGATTAACGCTTTTCTCTGTTTTTATCATCGTTTAGGGGGCGTAACGGATAACATAGTGGATGGCATAGTGTTTAGTGGTGTGATTTCAACCCATGCTCGAGTGATGATGTGATGATTGAATGTTGTCGGAGTCAACATGAAATCAACCCTAATCCCTTGATGACTACATCGTCTTCAAGATCTGGATGATGTAGATTTTCTTCTAAGAAGGATAGATATCCCACTGCGGATAGACGTGGTTTTCTTTTATCCAAGGTTATTATAGGTTGCTGCAAAATCACCACCCAAAAGAATTGGTAATAAGTTTCCTTATCTTATGTTATATTACACTAGAATTAGATAATAGTAGTTTGTTGATGGGAAAGTTAGATCGATAGAAGGAATTGTTGTTGTTTTTGATGATTGAGCAGCAGCTTCGGGTTTGAGAATTAGTCTTGAGAAATCAAATATATTTATGGCTCGTATTTCTATGGACAATCGCTTCTCAATTGTAGACTGATTTATTTTTCCCGTGGGCAATCTATTGGTAAGATATTTGGGTCTTCCTTTAATGACAAAAAGAATACTAAAGATGATTATGCGCCATTAGTGGAGGGTATTCATAAGCTATTGGCTCGTGGACAGCCCGACATCTTTCTTATATGGGCCGTGTGCAGCTTCTGCTCTCAGTTATATTAGACCTCACTAACTTCTGGATATCCGCTTTCCATCTTCCAAAAAGTTGTATTATGGAGATAAAGTCGCTCAGTAGCTCTTTCTTATGGTCTGGTCCAATCCTAAGTTCTAAGAAAGCTAAGGTCTCATGGATTGAAGTTTGTAAGCCAAAGTCCAAAGGAGGTTTGGGGATTTGGTCTTTGATAAAGGCTAATAAGTCTGCTGTCTTAAGCTTGTTTGGAGACTATTGTAGAATAAATCTTCTTTGTGGGTTGTGTGGATCAAAGAGTATTTGCTGAGTGGTCAATCCTTTTGGTTATTACATGAGTCTATACTCATGGCTCTTGGATATGGTGGAGAATGTTAAAAACAAGAAGTAGAGCTAGAGACTATCATCACATGAAGGTGAATAATGGAGAGAAGACTTCTTTTTGGTATTACGTGCACCTGTGGTTTTATTAATATTGGTGTATCGCCCCAATCTTCTTTGGCCTCGATTTGGCGCTCTCACCCGACAAAGAAGATAT